GGGATGAAGCTGCAGCGTCTGCAGGCGCTCCTGAAAACTATTAACACACAAACAACAATTAGCCGCCGTGTGAACGACTGCTCTTCTGTTCCCCAATCACTGAATTACAACCAGGAGATTAACGACGGTTAAATAAAAAACCATTAAGAACAAAACAATTAAGGCTTTTTTTCATCCTTATCCCCCCGTCAGTGTAATGGCAGATCTCTCATCTCTTTCCCATCATCCTCGGGGCTCGCTGTTCCTCTGCTGATCTCAGATCTAATATCTTCTGAATCTAGCTTGTGGGGAACATCACTGCTCGACCTGCAGCTTCTACCTCTGAGCACACGAACTCTGAGCTGCCTAAGAAAAACATGTTTGGGGACTAGAAACAGCTTTGGGGGGATAAGGATGAAAAAAAGCCTTAATTGTTTTGTTCTTAATGGTTTTTTATTTAACCGTCGTTAATCTCCTGGTTGTAATTCAGTGATTGGGGAACAGAAGAGCAGTCGTTCACACGGCGGCTAATTGTTGTTTGTGTGTTAATAGTTTTCAGGAGCGCCTGCAGACGCTGCAGCTTCATCCCTCACATGCACCGGGTTTCTGCTGCTCCCTAATCTCACTCATTACACAGAAATTATCTTTAACTCCGTGTTCAGGAGCTAAACGAGGGACTCGCAATTAAGAAATGAAATTACTTCTGTCTGCCTCGTGACTCATCTCTCCTGGTTTATAATGTTTGTTTCTCAGGTTTTAATCAAGTCCAAATAAATTGTTTCACTTTCCAGATTCACAAAATAACTGCACGTAAGTGCACGTGGGCATAAAGCAACAAGTTAGGTAATTTATAAAACTTGTAGAAAGCTGTTTGATTTATCTGCAACTACGAAACAACAGAGACTTTGTGTTTCTTGAACATGTTCATGACCTCACAGACTGGACCGGAGACATTTCTTATTAATTTGTGACCAAACGAGTCGAAGCTTTAGTCTCGAAGAGTGTGAACAAATGTAGATTAATTTTCTGTGGCTCCATGAATAATCTGATCCTTCACAATAAAACGCCTGCTCCTGAGTGGAGGAAACAAAAGTTCACAGTCTGCCCTCAGGCTTCCCTGCAACAGATGTGTGATGTTAACGGGACGGTCCTGGGCACACGGGTTAATGGAACGATCCAATGAGTCTCGTTAAGCTCGGACCATGTGGAGAATGGTGTTAAGAGGAAGTCTCAGAACGCCTCGATGTCCCCGGTGCTTCTCGACTTCCTCTCTGAAGTCTGGAGACTTGCAGAACGACCGCTGGACGTTTGAAGACGTTCAGAAAACACAAGACTCTGTCAGCGTGGGCGTCTCCGTCCATGCTCAGTGTTGTTGTGTCTCCAGTTTGTCTCAGGAGCTGTAAAGCGTTTTGTTGTTGTTGTTGTTGTTGTTGACTCCTGCAGAGGAGCAGAAAACATCCGAGGCAGACGTCCAGCTCTGAAACAACTCTGTAGATTAACGATAACTTTTTTAAAGCTAATCTGTGTCTGCCTGGCTTGATCTCCAAAGTGTGCTTCTGTAGATGTGGTCATAAACGTGGAAGAAGAAGAATCAAAGAAAATCGTTACAGCTAAGGATGAAACAAAGAAGCTGCAGGGCGGATTAAAAACCAAACACGAGTCGTTCACGGCGCCGTGAGGGAAGTCAATCAGCTGATGATTAATGTGTGTGAATTGACACACACACACACACACACACACACACACACCAGTGAGTGATAAGGTGTTGAATGAAGTAGCGGTGTCTAATTGCATTTCTTTGTTCGGGTGATTTAATGGACTCCACGAGCCGGGCCCTCAATCAACACCTCGGAGTGACTCAAACAATCTTCTCTCCAACTTCTCTGACGGTTTATTAAAATGTTTGTGTGTCTCTGTGTGTCTTTGTGTGTCTCTGTGTGTCTCTGTGACTCAGAATTCTTCACACTGGGTTTCTGGTCAGCGTTTGTGTTGGAGTTGTCTAAAAGCTGCATTTAAAGTCTTCGACTCTTTTCCCATCTCAGGAGCAGAAAGCTAAAA